AAAAAAACAGCATTAATTTGATGAAGGATACTGAATTACTTGATTCCGTATACCTTCCGTTGATAAAAAAACTAAATTATTAATTTTTGTTTTTCTCTCTCCTCCTACCTGACATTTCTGTGTCTTACTTTGTACTCTATCTCATCGCGGTTTTGATCATTTGTGACTCGTTCGTCGCGCGAGATGGTCGTGTTTGTTGTGACAGCTGCCTTTGTGTGCCGTTGTGAGAGGAGTAGAGTTGTTTATTAGTTTACTAGCTATTTGTAAGTAATTGTTGAATTCTAGTCATGTCTAGGATTCTTTTTCTTTAATTTATTTTTTTGATTATTAGAGAGTAATTTTCCTTTGACAATTCTTTACTTTATCTTAATTGACTCACAATAAATTGACTATTAATGATTTAAAAATTCTTTGACTTAATATTATTACAACTCTCCTTTCTTTTTGACAACATTGAGCTAGGTATTAGATTATAATTTATTATTTGATTATCATTTGCGTAGAAACACCGATGCAGAGCGAAGATTTCGTCTTTGTTTATCGTTTTTGACTCCTCTCACTTGTTGACATGCGTTGGTAGTTGTTCCTTTCTTGAATAGCTTAAGGTGCGTATGTATTTTTTTTGTTTCCCGTTTTCTCCAAGATTGAATTCATTCTTACATTTTTTACTTATTATTATTGTTAATAATTTATTATTAAGGTTTTTTATTTTTATTTATATACTGTATATTTTTAAGATGGTTGAAGATGATCAGAAATAAATATTGATCGAAACGTCCCGTATTAATCATGAGTGATAATTGATTTTCCAATTCCATCCTTGGACAATAAAGGCCAGTTGGGTCTCCATTGAGTGTTGATTTTAATCGTTATAAGGCCTTNTTTCTTTAATTTTAAGATTAACTATGTTTTATGAAACTTTCTATATTACGTTTGTTTGTTAGTTACAATTAATTATATTATAAATTGAAGTTTCAGTCTGTAATTACTTAAAAAGTATATTTTTTGTTTTGAGTTTTTATATACAGGGTGTCTGATGAAGACCATATCACCACTGGTAGACAGGTAAAAAAAATTATTCTGAGTCGAAAAACCTTCTACCATTTTGCAAGATTCGCAATAGTTAAGTTTTTAATAAATAAACATCCACGACAGAGCTGTCATTTTGCACGTGGCTGCACGCTCATTCGCGGATCTTTATTTATTAAAAACTCGTTAACTATTGCAAATTTCGCAAAATGATAAAGGATTTTTGACTCAGAATAATCTCTTCTACCTAGCTACAAGCGGTGATACGGTCTTTATCGAACATCCTGTATATATTTGTTAATATTAGTTTTTTTGTTTAATACAATAATAACGACGAAAACGTCNTTTTAATAAGCCAATGGCTTTTTCCACTATCGTACGCGATGAACTTAGGCGATAATTAAAGTTAAGTTGTGCTTCCGTTAAGTGACCGTTATTTTTGTAAGGTACCATGACATGTTTCTGTAAAGCATACGCTCCATCACCTAATATATGGCTATTTTCAGGAAAATGATCAGCTGTACACATTCCCTGAATGCCACTTAATTTGAATACTCGCATATTGTGAACACATCCAGGTTGTCCTGCGTAGCAGTGTATAAATTTTAATGTTGAATTACAAACAACCTATAAGAAATATATAAAACATT